TAATAAAGCTGTAAACACTGGGAGTTTTCATTGACCTGAGTTTGTGCTGCACCAATTCCTATGGCAGCAGACAATTCCCTAATGCATAATATGTGACCCTGCAACAGCGACACTTAAACAGATAATTTTAGTACATTAGCAACCTGAGAAATAAATTTAGTAAGCAGACTTTTTTTAGTGCTAGCATAGAAAGTAAAGTGTAGATGATACTTGGTCATTATAAAAATCTTAAAGCTTTTGCTTCTTTTAAAAATAGAAGGTATAACAACTACACACTACAGCAAGAAATACTTTGCAGTAATAAAGGTAGGAAGGGGAAGAAGTAGAGATCTGCAACAGCCTTTTCAAAAAACTCAGGTCTTGTGATGGGTATATAATGGATGTAATGTTGAGATGTAATTATGCTCCAGAAACCTGAGACAATGCTTCCCCACATTTGCCTCTTTAAATGTGGCCTCTTTCCCTACTCACCAAGTCCAAGGGAAAGAAGCATGTTTGCATAATTTAGTCAGTGAGCATTTACTAGGCACACTCATAGCTTCTCCTTGCTCCCTAAAAGTAGCTTCTGAATTTATGAATAACTGAAATCTCARTTAGAACTGTTTCAAGACCCACATAAGGATGTAATTGATTAAATTCATGACTACTCAGAGTAGGTAATTGAGTAGTAATTGAGATCTCTCCCTTAGAGTAGCTTTTTTTTTTCTGCCACTCTTCAGAGCTGATCATATTAAACTTTCATTTTGGTGCCTCCAAACAGGAAAAATAAATACACATGTATATAATACACAATTAACAAAYAATATTTCCTAGTTTCCAATCATTTTGATTTTATAAATTAAGCATTTTACTGTTTCACAGACATTCATTCTTTTCTTTATTCATTCTTTGCTTTATTCTTAGCAACAAGAGTGATTCTTTACCTTGGTTTCATTGCAAAGCTGTCCCAAAAGTGCTTTCATAAAATGAGTATGCCAGCCAGAAATAGTGACCACAGTGATGTCCCCAACTGAGGTATCAACTTGGGTTCTAAGGACTGGATCTTTGCCTAAGCAGTCCCTGACTCTTGTTTAATCTGTGAACTAATGTCTTCCAATGTCTTAAGTTGGTAGTTTTAAAGGAAAGGACTCTGTTTCAGGCAGCATTTTTTACTTTATACTTGACACAAACTGACACAGATGAAGCCTTGGTACAGAACCAAGGGCAGTTGTAGCTGAAATACAGCAGAATTGGTGAAAGACTGTCCATGACAGTAAGCTACAGAATTTCAGATGAAACACTGGCTGCCTTTTCTATAATAAGCAAAAGTCTGAAATGAGCAACCAAAAGTAGTTGGAGTTGTTCATGTTTATCTAACGAGTTGATCTAAAATAAGTAGCTGCATACAAAATGGTCCAATWACACTTAGAAATCATACATTTTTAAATAGGAAATGAAGAAACCCTTTGCAGAGGTATTTGTTATTTACCTTAAGAAATTTTTGCAAATACCCTTCTAATCTTTGGTGTCACATGTTAAGCAGATAGTGATACATTTCATGAATCACTGTTCAATAGCCTCATTAGACTAGTCTTTGCTTAGTTGAGACTAATTATGTAACCAGCTCACTGAGATGGCTGTGGCTAAACTGTCTGGCTTCCATCAATGATAAACTCAGCTTGTTGAAAAGTTTTCTTGCCAACAGAAAGTGAAGTCACTTGTACAAGAAAGAGGCTTTGAATACTAAGCTAGAAGGAAATTTCTTTGAGGGTGGTGGTAGGAGTATTGAAGACCACAAGTAGTAAAGAAAGGGAAGCAACACTAGACTAATTTCTGGAATTTCTGTATAAATTATGAAAATATGCTGTCAAATGCAGGAAACACTCCTGCATTGACATTGATACAGCAAACCAATGCTACGACCTTGTATCAATTTTCAAGCTCCTTAACATTAAGGGAAAAACAGTATTCAGGAAAGTAAGAATTGTCCTGGAACAACTGTAACTGCAGGAGTGGCAGCACAATCTCAGTCTTGTTCTGAATTTGTAACCAGTCTCACCGAGGGGATGTGTGAAAAAGTGAGAAAAAGGAGTGTGCTCTGTTTCAGAATGTGTACAGATATATTGCATTAAGGTTATGTTGTGACAGATGGACCAGGGAAGAACCTGAGATATGTTCTGGGTTTTCCTCAGTGGTAGCAGATAAATGTATTTGGTTGTATTGGATCTGACATCATTCTCCATGTCTCCTCACTCCAGTTTAGCTCTYGAGAGAGAAGACCCAGAACAAGTACTATGGGCAGGTATAAGGTAAATAGTCTGATTTTTTCACAGCTCTGATAGAGATTTTGTGAACTGGAAGTTGTTCCTTGATCTTTAGTTCTTTTGATTCTTGATGCAAGAGTGRTCAGTTAAGCTTCATTTTGAAGCAATTTCTACTTTCAGAAATGTCTTCTGTTGGTGAGTTCCACAACGTTTTTTGCATGCAATTACTTCATTTAGTTTAATAACACACAGTACTAAATCTCAGGCTATAAGACAATGATTAGTTGCCTTCTCTATGTGAAATGACATGGTGACATATTTTTGTCCAAATAATCTGTTGGACTTTTTACAGCAATAAGCATKGCTTGCAAGAAATCAAGTCATACTTGAAAGAGTAATGTATGATGCTGCAGAGCAGCTGACCCCTAGGGAGTTGAACACTTCACCCTAAAATCAATCTCATTCTATAGCAGCATTACAGAKGAACTACACTATCTGTCTTTTTGCTTTATTCATGTTAATTCAACATTAAGTAATTAAATATGCTCGCCTTATTTCTGCTTTTCTTAAGAAAAGCTGTACTTTATGGCAGGTGTATAATCAGTGAAGTCAAAAGTTATTTTTCTYTTAAAAACTCAAATAGGCATGAGAAATTTATTAAAGTCCCTTCAGAAATTTCCCCAAGTGTTCAGTCTTTCTCATCCTACCTTCCATTCATTCTGTAACTTGACACTTCCTCCTATGTCCCTCAAATGCAGAAGAACTTGTAATACTCCCCTTCAAGTTTTTAGGAGCGAGAGGCTTCCTTCCTGCCTTGTTATATCTAAGGAAACTTAAACTCACACTTTTTTCTTCCATGCAAGTACACTGAATATTAATTTATATTAAAGGGGAAAACACTCTATTGTCCTTGCAGCAGTAAAGAAARGTAACACAAGACTTGGAAAAGATTCATTTAAGAGAGAGATGGCTTTACTTTTTTTATTGCAAGGACTGTATGTTATATTGAAAGCAGCCTTTGGGGAAAATCTTCATCCCGGTTTGCCAGCTGCATCTTCCTCCTAGTGTGGGCCACCGTAATATTCATGGCCTATGGCCTGTATTTGAGGCAGTTATCCATAGAATCATAGAGTAACATGAGTTGGAAAGGACYCACAAGGCTCATCAAAGTTCAACTCTKGGTCCTGCACAGGACATTTCTCCAAGAGCCACACCATGTGGCCAAGAGTGTTGTCCAAACACTTGTTGAATTCTGTCAGGCGTGGTGCTATGACCAGTTATGTGGGGAGCCTGTTCCATGGCCCAGTCACCCTCTGAGTGATGAACTTTTTCCTATTATCCAACTTGAACCTGCCCTGACCCATGATATGAGTGTGGTATTCAGCAAGATGAAACTTCAAATACCTCAGGTCTACATAATCTGTGCCACTTCAGACAGTGGCTTGAGATGCCTATTCTGCAAGCACAGGAGCCCTAGGTTTTCTCTGAAGCAAGTTCCTGTAACCACACACCTGCAGCAGTGCAGACAGTTGTACACACCTGGACAGGATAAATTTTCGTTTAGGTTCTTGAGTTGTGGATTACAATGTGGGGGAGTTACAATGAAGGCCTAACTCTATCCTTCATCARAAGCTTTCCTTTCTATGGTTTCCAAATCTGCAGCTATTTGCACATGTATTTCCTTCTGTCTCTTGTCACTTGTTTGATGTTCCAACTGGCTCTGGAGGAAGCTAAGTTTTCTTCCAGAGACAAAGTCAAATAGATAATACTTGAATGATTTAAATTTCAAGAGCAGTCAGAGACTAGACCAACAAGTTCTGCAGCTTGCCTTTGCCAGATCTGCCCAGCCTGAGGAAGCCTGGGCAACAACAGCCACCCACGGGGGAGCAGGCTCCACCCCAGCAGATCAGTTCCTCTGATACATAAYGTAGAGGATAAAAAGAAAACATGGTCCCAAAAACTGAAACATACATAGGTAAAGGTAGTTCTGAATCAAGCAAGTACAAAAGTTAAAACAAAAAAAACTTGAAACACTTTATTCCTTAATCATATTTTACTCAAGTTTTCAGTCAGCAAGGAATAGTTTTCTGCCCATGATAATTTCAGCAATTCTGGTATTTTACACTAATGGAGCTTCTGTGGTATTACAGCTGGCCCTAACCAGAATTCTGACTTTTTTCCCTTGTTCCACTCAGCAATCTAAGCAGACATCCTTAACAAAAGCAACTACTAAAGAAACTACAGAGCATGCAATCTTTTTCTATTTTATAGAATGCAGCACATGGCACATTAGAGTACTCCTTTCCAGAGGGATTACTTAATAAAAAAAAGAAAAAARCACCTGTCTTAAAGTGAATATTTTCATAGGTAAATTTTTGCACTGCAAATTAGATATCATTACAGCAGAAGAGGGGAAACATTCTTTTAAAAATTRTTTTTCCTGGGAAATCCAATTTACTCCTTTTTCATGAACTGTTGGAATRAACATAATCATCCTTAGTACTTAAATCTTATGAAACAGTGCTTCAAGAGGTCCAACTGCTTTTAAGTGAATGTTTCATAAGTTTGGTACCCTACAGGGCACAATAAGGTATTATGACGAAGGTACAATGAATATGGCTTTCCTATGTTGATAACATCATTGGGTTTCACACAGGCAATCTGACAACTGAGGGGGTTACAATCCTGCAAA